CCTAAAGGAAAAGTGTGAAAATATCAAACAGCCCTATCTCACAATGTTAAAGAAAGTGACAAGAAATTCCTGTATCAGCCCCCAGATCTGCACCATAATTCAATGGGTTCTAACCTGACTGATATCAAATCCTTCCACCAACTTTTATGGTTATCTGTCCAGTGGTTTTTGTACAATGCTGCGAAACAAACAACCAAACAACAATGAAAACACAACCTCTCTGGTTGAGGTAGAACGTATAATACAATTCATGTTTTTCTGCAGACGAGATAACCAAGCTTTCCAAGTGTATAAACATCCAGGCCTCTTTCTCTCTGTGTTCCCAATGTTTTTCTCCCTGTCCTCATTTGTCTCGGCCTCTCTGTGCTGGACCGTCGGCCGCCATGAGACCTCTCTCCCTCTCCTGGCCTTCAGGGGGCCTCAATCCAGATGTTTTGGACCTGGATCTTCATCCCCCGGATCCCCAGCCTCCTCCTCGTCTCTCTCACTCCCTCTGCGGGTTTGTTTTCTTCTTCCAGATGTGTGAGTGATGAGCTTGTGTTTGGCTCTTGTATGTTTGTGTAATCTGTCTCTTTTCCAGGTCTTAATGGTGGTGAGGAGGTGGTGTGGCTCAGGTCCTATCTGTTCGATGTCCTGATATTTCAAATTTATTATGTTTTTGTGGTAATTGTCCAAATCTACTTTGTTGCTCAATTCTGTGCACATCACTATTGTGTGTCTGTCCGTCCTGGAAGGTTTCCCTCCTCTGTTGCTTGTTCTGGAGTTTTTCATGTTTCTGTGTCTGGTCTGAGCATCTTAGGACAGTTGGGGTCACAATGCTGCACAGATTGTTCTGCCCCTAGAGGCAAATTTGTATTCTGTGATTTGGAGTTTTATGAATGCACTTTGACTTTTTTTCTGCCTTCTACAATTATAAGAGCCTTGTGAAACTTTATACACCTAAAGCAGAGACCAAGAAGTGTCATAAAAAGCTTCTTCTAAGTTTGCTTGGGTTCTGTATATTCAAGATAACAGGACATTGAGGCCATCTCATTAGTATCAGGACCACAGAGCTTTTGTAGTGTTAGTCAGCATCAGTTTATAGTTTCCTTTATAGCTGACTGATGTCAGAGTGGAGCCTGAATTTGTCCTGGCATCTCTGTTTGTGTCTGTCTCCATCCCTGTAGTTTTAGAACATTTATAGGTCCGTACAGTACACTTAAGTTTCTGCAAGTACTCAAAGAGGACATTCTTTCTCTTCCTGCCCTGGTTAAGTCCACAAGTCTGCAAACAATATGGACCACTTCTAGGATAAATGCACCTTCCTTTTGTTTGCATTTGCTTTCAACAACGGAGCGTAAAAGATGAAGCTCATTTTCTCTTCAAGAGGATGAATTGTAGGGAACAGACAGCAGATCTTATCTTGCCCAGTTTTCCTGCCACATCAATTATTTGTACATCAAGAAGCAGCTTCTTTTTCTTTTTTTTCTCTTTTCTTTTGAAGGAGTTTGTTTTTCTTCCCGGATTAATTGAGCTAAATTGCCCACGGTTGAGCGTTCAGGTCCAAACTTGAAGTGCCACCTCTCCTTGCAGAGTCCCCAATTGAAATTCAGACCGTGGTGAGAGCAGCGCTGTGCACAGCTATATTTAGGTGGAGCGGTTTCCAGTCGTAAATCCCTGACACAATGAAGATGCTGTTTGTCTCTGCTACCTGAGAGCGCAGTGAAAACATCTGGATGGTGGAGCTTACTGGCCTGACGGGGGAAAAAGACACAAACTGTCTTTCATTACCACCTAATAGAAGTGTTTATTATCGGATGAATATTTATGACCATTAGCGATGCTGACTTCCTCACCTATCATCAGCTTAGATGTTTTTAGGTTTTCTTCTGTCTCGATATGAGTCGCTCAGTCAGAGGGGGGACGAGTTTTTTGAACTAGTGTTGGGGCAACTGTGGAAAAACCCCAGATTGAACTGAGCTGAACCTTTGTGAGGATGCTGCAGCAGCATCAGGCCTCTTCCCACTGCTGATAGAAGTTAGCCTGTGTTTCCCGCCTCTCTGGGCCACAGACAAGAGCTCTGACAGCAGTGGACTCATCTCATTCAATCCTGACCTTCAATGGTGCCTTCAGGAGAGACAAGTCATTTCCTAAATATTTGTCTTTTTAAGTAGATCTGACTTATTTTTGAGATTGACCATTAACATGATTGATCTTATATGATGATCCGTATTTAATTTTAGTAAATCATAATATGACTTCAAAGTAAATTTAATCTTAAAATCAAATGTAATAAAATGTAAATATTGAAGGTGCAGTATGGGTGAAAGGTCAAGGATTCACTCCAGGAACTTTTTTGAACATTCTTTGACATTGTGAAATAGGGCATATTTTTAAAAAACATTTTCTCAGTTTTCCCAGGGAATAATTCATGGATCTTGATGAAAAAAGTCTGGCGTATAAGTTTTGAGTCTTTGAAACGGCAACAGTCGTACTGAGCTGCTGTCTGTGAAGTATTTTCCATTGTTATTTTGAGCTGTGGCAGTGTATCTGCACATTTCTGCTTTGAAAATGTGAGTGACTTCAGCATTCTCCTATTCTGCTCTCAGCGCGCGGTATTTAGAAAGATGGGTTTCAAGTCATCCGTGCTGTTTACCGTTCACTTGTTTCATGTGGTGCATCGCCTTCAAGGATCAGACGTCCCTTTGGCTTTATTGTAAGATTTTCAAACTTGGACAGATACAAATTTGATTTCAACAACCTCTAATTTGATGATGTCAGTGTTTCCCCCGCTCTCTCCACGCACAATGATCAAATCATAATGTGGCAGAGCTAAACCCCTTTCAGCGGAGAGAATCGAGCAGATCTGTGGGCAGCGTTTGAAGATGGCACATACTCCAACATATCTCAAAGGATCTGTAAGAAATTTGGTCACCTCTGACTTTAAACGCTGACAGCAGGTCTGTGAATTTGCTTATCATTAAAAATAATAAGGCCAGTGCAGACAGAACTCCTGTCTATGGACCTTCTCCACCCCAGGATGTGGAGAACGACACTGACGGCAGCAGAGAGCGAGTGTTCAGCTTTTAACAGTGATCACTGCGCTCTGTGCTGAGCCTGACAGATCAATAGATTGTTCAGCACATCACAGCAGGCCCCCGTGAGGGAAACCAACATCACAGCAGCATCATCACTGTTCAACCTCTCAACAGCAACCAACAGTGAAACCTGAGTAAACAGGGAGCCCCTTTTCAACCATCTCATGTTGCTGTTTAAAAGCCTATTTGCTTGTGTGAGTGAGTGCTGGGTAAGGAGCCATGTTCTGTTCTGTGATCTGAGGAACGTTTAGTGAGCTGGAGACCAAAGACGTCTTTGATACACTTGATTTACTCTGACCTTTGTTTAAAACTGAACTTCAGCCCGTAATGAACAATATAAAGACATTTATTTGACAATGCAGAAAATTGAACTGTCCAGAACTGGACTCTTCACACAACTTCAATGAAAAAATCTGAAAACGTACCACAGCCAAAGAGGATTTATAGTCATGGTTCATTTGTTAGGTTAGGATTACGAAGGATGCCGTAGGTGTCACTTTCTTTGACATTGTTTTTCATCATTTTCCTTTATTTCTCCGATAATATCTCTTGGATTTTGATGGAAAAAATCAGACATGTTTATGGGACGGATCCAGATCTGGTGAGTTTAAATGTGGTTTCATAAGGGACTGTTGGATCGAGTTTAGACTGTATTACATGAAGTAGTCTTACTGAGTTTTGCTAAAAGCAACCCTGGTCTTGGTTGAAATGACCTCATTCAATGTATTTTAGGTGGAAAGGAGAGATGGAAAATGCCCCTGAAAGTTTCCTCTGACAGCATCTTACAGTGAAGGGGTGTCACCTCTCAGTCCTCCCTGTCCTGCTGTGAATGCAGCTCAACACAGACCACTAAAGCTATAGTGGATTATCTGAAGACAAGCACATGACTGCATTGGAACTTTGAAAGCTGCGTCAGAGAGGGCGATGGACAAGTTTTAATAATCCTAAATTTGAGTTTGTCATCCAGGAGACGTCACTGGACAAAGGCACGTTGTAATACACGTCAGTAAAGTCCCACAGACACAGGAAAACAGACAGAAATACATGCAGCTCTTCAGTTTCTCTCTATTTTTTTACTAATCTTGTTCATCATCATAGCTCGGAGCCTATTCCCACGTACATGAGCACATTTCAGATATTTTGGGCTCTTCGGCCTTTATTGATATGGCACGATTTAAGCTGGAGGGGTGGGGAGAGAGAGCAGTGAAGACGTGGAGCGAAGGTCGGAATTGAATCAGCCACTGCATAGTACTCAAGCCTCAGTTGTTTTGAGGACAATTAGGGGCTAACGTGAAATGCGCACTCACGCAAGGAGCATGCAAAGAGGCATTACATTGACATAATACATTCTGAAAGGTTAAAAACACGTCTAACTTCATCAGATGTTTTTGTGTAGATGAAGAACTGATGTCCCAGGAAATTATATTTGCTGAACAATGCAGCCTCATCAATCTTTTCCAAACCGTCCTTCAGCGCTGTGTCCCATTGTTACGTCTTTCAGCGGTTGTGAGGAATCTGGCTGGTCCATATGAAAATACTGTACAGTGTTTATGCTGGTGTAAGAGTGCAAGCCCAGCACATACTATGTATGAGGGAAATGTAAACTTTGAAAAGACTTCCACGGTCTGCAGAGAATTGAACCACTTAACTTTATTATATAATGTTATATAACTTACTTCACCGTCAGGAATCCTCATCTGATTGGGCAAAGTGTAAATACCACAGGCCTGATACTGAGTCAAATGGAAAGAAAGACGTCACCATTCAGCAAAACTGATTACTGTGACGCATGAGTGTCTTTAGAACAGAGGTATTCACTTCCAATACGTTTGGATTATACATACTGTGGTGGAAACAGCATCCAATGACTCCAAGAAAGAATAAAAAGTTGGATTTAATTTTGTTTTTATATGAAGTCAGGAATTAAGAAATGAAAGCAGAGTAGAGACAGAGAGAGAGGGTTTCATTAAGCAGAACACACTTTTGTCATTAGGTGATATTGAGGCATTGCAGTTCCTTTCAGCTCCTGCACTGTTGAATGAAAGATGAATAGCTGAGAATCCAGGTGGACGCTGTGCTTGATGGAAAAGCTACAGGTAGACAGCAGGTGGTTTCTTCATTACAATATTTTCAGATCCTCGAGAATGATGACACTTTTCATTAAATCAAAATGCTACTCTCTCTGTTTTTTACTTAGATCCTGACTCTTGCAACGTCAACTCCCACTTGGGCCAACAAATATGTTTCCGAACAGGCTTTTGGTGCCCTCTGCTGAAAAGTGTTGGGTGTTGCACTAGATAACAATGAAATCATAATGTTGTGTGTTGCAATGAGTGAATTGTGTTTGGTTACAGTTCAGTGCAATGTACCAGTTGCACATGTCTGACACTTTAATTTACAGTCTTACAATGAGCTCAGTATTAATGATCCACTGATTCACTTGCTTGTGTGAAAGGTAGAACAGGTGAAAACCTGATTTACATCTTGTCTTAGATAAATGCACAATATTACACTCAAAGATACATAATTCAATTAGGAATGATTATAACATCAATCGTGTGGAAACAAGTAAATAAAGCATTTTTTATACAGTAGTGGGGGATGGTACTAGTACGTGCATGTACAATGTGGCTGAGTGTGAATATTGTAGTGTGTGTTGTTTCCAGCTCATAACATTCTTCTGTTCCTTGGACAAGTTGTTTTTTTGACATTTCTTGCGGACAGGTGCCTCTGGTATATGTCGTGGGCACGTTGGCAGCATTGGTGTGTCTGTGCACCTTAGTGCCAGTCTGCGTGGGCAGCAGGAGAACCACCTGCAAGAGCTGCGAGAGACACAGACATCATGCACTGAGCACTTCTCCCCTCTCTCTCTCTCTGTTTCTCTTTGCAACAACCACAATTATTATAATTACTATAATATGAATTGTTGTTGCTGTGACATTTTTACACTCTTTTTGTTTTCATTATAACTAATCAGAGCTGAAACCTGATTGCGCACAACTGCTCCTTGCTGCTTAAGATATACAATATTTTATGGGGAAGTGCAAGTTCACTTGTTGTGATAGTTTGTTTTGTGAGTGCTAACATGAAGGGCCAACATGAAGCTCTTTGCTGCTCCTGAGTCGTACCGTTGTCTGAAGGAAGAGGTGAAACTGGAGCACATGATCAAACTGAACAAGCTTCAGAGCTCAGTGAGAGTACATGATGATGTCTTTTAACAGACTGTAGGTTGAAGTCAGTGTCTCCTACCTGTGCTCATTTCACGTCCTGTCTTGGCTCCTTCTCCCAGAAGCATCTCCTGCAACAGGCTGTCCATTCTGGCTTCACCCAGCAGCTGTGCTAAGTGCAGAGTCTCCACCATCTGCCAGGCCACACTCTGCAGGGCGGGCAGGATCAGCAAGAGCTCCCCGAACCTTCCCCTCTGCTCACAGGTCGCCTCCTCCAGCAGCAGCTGGGCCTGGAAACGCAGATGTCGAACAAACTGAGGATTCTCCAAACCGGGACAATCTGCAGGACCAAGGTAAGAGGATATACGATTAATGAAGAGGAGAGAGGACACCATAACAGAAAGAGTATGAATACACTAGAGTAACGTTTTATCTGGGGATTGTTAACATGGGTGAAAGAAGGGAAGAACTTTATCCATGTAGATAAGATGGCAATATACGACTAACAATTATTGTTGTATGAGAAACAAAGAGGCTGATTTCACAGGGTTAAGGCTTAATTGTTTTTTAAAATGGCATTTTACAAACTATAACTTTTTGTGTTGTGTAAACTTTATTTTAAATAAGAAAGTATGCCTTTATCACTGATACATAAATGATAAAGCCAATAAGTTCACAGGCTGCCAAAGGAGTTTCTCTGCTCACCCTGATATCAAATTAAATTGAATATATATATATTTTAAGGAAATTAAACTTGCATACAGTTCTTAGTAGATCAGTTGGTAACATAACAGCAGGGTAATAATGAGAATAACAAAAAATTCTAGATAAGCTGGAGTAAGTTCAGTTGGAGTAAAAAAAAAACAAGGATAGAAAATAGGATTAAATAAAAGTTGTGTAATAATCACAAGTCTAGTGCAGAGTTGAATCAGTTATTCAGTCCTCTGCTCCTGTGGTCTCCCTGCCTCTACAGCCATTGACTGTGGTAAATTGAGTTCAGCAGGCGAACCTCCAAGATGTTCACCACGTCTTGATAATATCAGAACATTTCCAGGAAACACTGAACAGAGATGACTCATACTCAAACTACACATGCAGGTTCCAAGAAAACAAACACATCTGAGGGAGTACATCTTGTGCAGTGGTGTGGTCATGTGACAGAGCAGGAAATACAACTGACCCGGGCTGAAGAAGACAATGGTTTTGAGGCAAGCAAACTCTGTGTCTGCGATGTCCAGCTCTCTGAGAGGTTTGACCAGCTCCTCTTGGATTCTGAAAGCCACTCTGGACACCTCTGTCTGTGCATCTCTCAGGGGGATCACAAAGTTGTTGCCTGCTCAATAAACACAAACAATAGATACAAGTGAGAATTCAGGACATAACTGAATAATGACTTAAATAAAGAACATAAACTGTTTAATCTGTGCTACCTAGAAGAATGAGATTGTTGTAAGGTAAAGAGCGTCTTGCTGCCCCTAGAATAAGATGCTCTGCAGAGTGGGTTCGTAGCAAGGTTACCTGCAAACAGACACACAGGCTTCATGTCATGTGCAGCTTTGAAATGTAAATTAACAGTTAAAAGTGAACATTGTTACTTTATTATGCACAGACAGGTAAAGTGTAACTGTGGGTACAAGAGGTTCTTCTGTGCTTTTCTCACCCTGTCATCCAAAGGGAGGCTGCAGAACTCTGGGATGTGTTTTGCCCACTCCACCAGCAGGAGGAGTTGCTGCTTCATGGAGTGAAACACGTCACCCACACAGGCTCTCTTCTTGGTGTTGATGTCATGACTCCTGGGTGAGACTGGAGCTGGAAACTGACAAAAGCAAAATGTGTGAGTCCACTGTGGAGGCAGGTGATGCTCGGAAGGAAGTGTGCGAGTGTGTGTGTGGGGAGGGTGAAGGATGGGGATGGGAGTATGAGGAGGGTGATGATGCTGATAGGTGTGTTGCTGCTTGGAGATGTGAAGATTAGAGCAAGTCAAGGCAGGTAGAGGAGGATTTGGTGGATGGAGGCCACACGATGATCAAGATGGAAAAAACAACCCACATATATCTTAGTAACTTCTTCTTTGCCAATCATTTCACCCATTTCTGAGCATTTCTTATACATGCACAAGTGAACATGTGGTTGTTATTATTCGTTTAAAGGCACACAATCCCAGATCCTCTGGTGCAATCTAATAGATGATTATTATTCAGGGTCCCCAGGGTCTGCAAAATATGTTTCCAGAGGATCCAAAAAAGCTACTGGTCAGTGTCTGCTACTGGTCAGTGGCTAAATGTTGGATGTTTGAAATTTAACTTATAACCTCTTTGTCTCTCATCAATTCCCAGAAATAGAGTGTCCCTTCAAAGAGTCCATTTCTGATCCAGAACTACTTCATAGGTGAGTTACCTGTGTCACGCTGGCCTCTGCTCGCTGGAGCACAGTGATGGACAGAGTGCCCACTGTCTGTCCCTTGGCTCTGTGACTGTTGATGCAGCCTCTCTCATTCTGAACAGCTGAAGTTTAAAAAAGGGGAAAAAAACCATCAGAGAGGTTTTTTGGCTTCTGCAGGCCTCACCTCGGCCGCAAACATGTTCTGAAAGAAAAGACCTTCTCTGTGCCTCCACAAGGTCCCTCTGTCCTCTGTGACATTTGAGTTGCTGTTCATTCCAACATTAGCTGCGCCAAATGTGGCCGAAATGAGAGGGAAGTAAAAATCTCCTGTTCCCTGAAATCTCCCAGTTGGTGATGTGAGCGTATCTGTTGCAGGATGTGAAGTCGCTCAGAGAAATTAAATGTCACCGCCTCTAATGGGAACTAATTGGGGATGAAGTAGATGGAACAGGTGAAAACTATATCTTGTGGAACCGTTCCCCTCATGAAACCAAATTAAAGTTCTCCAGATCTAGATTTTTATTTGCACAAAGTCGTGAATATCAATCTGTTAAACATTTTTTCATCCATGAATTATTCTCTGAGAAATCAATGAAAACATCAAGGAAAATTCATGGTTCTTCTTGTCCCTCTATACCACATCCTCTCACCAAGTTTCATGGTAATCCGTCCTGTAGCTTTCGCATAATCATGAAACAAACACAGAAGAAAAACATAACCTCCTTTGCGAAGGTAATTATATTTTAATCTTGTCATGTCGACCTGCGTATCTTGATTTAATATTCTGATGTTGACAACAGCTTCTTACATCTGCTGCTGACAATAAAAAAGTGGGCGTGGACGCGTGGATGCTTGATGTTGAGGATTATGTTCAGTGGAGGAGATGACATCACATGTTGATGATCCCTCTGTACAGGTAATAAGGAGGCGAGCAGTCGATGGCCTCTGGTGTTAGACAACAGAAGTGAATGTCGGAGTAATCACTCATCAGAGCTGTCCTCTCACCAACCAATCAGCAGTGTATTAATCAAACTATAGCAGAGCAGGAGCGGGAGGATAACTCTGGCATGGTGCTGCATGACAATGTCACAAATGAATCTCGGCTGCATCATCAGTTAAAAGTCTGGTCAAGTATAAAATGAAAATGCAGAGTCTGTTTCTTGTTTTATTTCTGCCACAGTTGTGCTGCTGGCCTTCGGTGTGAAAGTGATCCTGCAGCATGTTATGCAAACCAGGCAAATTAGTGAAGTAAACTTTTAAATTTGTAGCCTTCACTTCAGGGGATTCAGAGCAGCGTCTCTCCAGGAAAATGCAAAACAAATATTTACCCATGCTCAGTTTGTGTTAATTATTCATGTGTGGGGACTATTCGTGGTTCCTCCGATCACATCTCTTTCTCCTCCCGCTCAACTGTGCAAGTCAACGGGAGATAAGACTAAATATTCACATAGTGCACATTAATACACATGAAAATCAACACAGTTGCTCTCATTGTTTCCCAAGAAATAAACCGAAATATGTTTTCTCTATAAAACCACCCCTGATCCTTTCTCCTTGCAAGAGGGGATGACAAATCTTAAATGCAAATGGTATGCAGTGAATACAAGTTTAATTCTGAAACTTATATGGAGGTTCTTGTAATCTATTTTCTTAGAGAATCTGCTTAAGGAGATACAAACTTTTCCTCTGACCTTCTTTTCTCATTCCAACCTTGAAACACTTTTGCAGTCTGCAGTAACGACACTGGTTCCTTTTGTCTTTGTCCACTGTGCACTGACTGTTGAACCTGAAAAGAAAAGTGCTTTGGTTTCAAGTCAAATCACATTTTATTTGTGTGTGTGGCTCATGTTCACAAATCGCAGTTTAGCTCATTATTGGTGATGAAAACCACCAAAAAAAACATTTAAAATGCAGAAACCTCTGGAGAGTGAGGATCCCTCGCCCAGGATGAACACAAGTGTAATGAATGTCATGTGTAGAAGAGCACATCAAGATTATAACAATATTTAAAACATTGTCTAACTTAGATGGAATCAATGTTTAAAGCTTTTACACAACACATCGAGTGGTGAAGTTTCATGTTGCAGCTGAACAACCCTCACCTCACCCTCCCCTTCTGAACAAAGAACTTGTGGTAGCAAGTAGGTAGTTGTCATAAAACTCAAAATGTGTTTAGTTTGTCCAGTCTGGACTAATGTATAAAAAATGGTGGCCTCCGTAGAGAGGGTCCCCTCGATGTAAATATAAAGTATTTAAATATAAAGGGTCTTTTCTGGGGTAAAGAAAACTACAATTCATACAATTTAGATGAAAAGAACTAGTGAAAACATCATGAGAATTATTCTACATTAAATATCTGCCAATAGTTCCCTTTCACCTAAATCTTACACACTGGACCTTTAAGTCATTGATGATATCTTGTACTTCAGCGACCTGATAATTTAATCTGCTCCCATGGACACTTTAAAAAAAAAGCAAGTTAAGACATGACAGAATCTGTAGTTGTCAAAGCATGCATCAATCAACACCTCACATGGGAAAATAAAAAGACACAGCAGCTATATCTCACCATTGATTTACAGTCCGATGTCATTACATATATTTTATTGTTTCCATGCCCGGACTCGCCCCAGCATCTATAAGGTTGCTGTTCTATTGCAAGGTGAAGTTTCTGTATGATACATGTCACTTTGCTGTGTAATGTGATAACACCACAGAGAAACTTCTCACTTCACCTTGAATAACAACCTTTTGTGTTCCTGGTGTGTCTATATTGACATTGTTGGATAATAAGATATAGAGTGAACAGCGTGTTATTGGTTCGTGATTCGTTGTATGATGGAGCTCACCTGCAGTTGTAAGTGTGATTGTTGCGGATGCTCCTCCTGAAGAAGCCCTTGCAGCCATCACAGCTGGAGGCACCGTAATGTTTACCTGTGGCTCTGTCTGTGCAGATCGAACACTGAGTCCTGCCTCGCTCAGGCTGTGGTGGTGATGGGTAAGGGACTGACAGTCCCGAATCTATTAATACAATTAAAAAGTACTTCAAAACATGTCTGAAGATGTCTTTTATTATGGTTTATGGTAAAAATACCTGATGAAAAGTTTGAATTGGAGACTTGTAAAAGAGTGATAGATATTAGTCTCCTAAATGTGCCTGATTTTCATCAAAATCCATCAATTATTCTCTTAGAAAACTGTGAAATGCTATTTGTCAAAGAGAGTGGCCTTATCTGCACCAATATTGAATGGGTTCTTCCCCGACACATACTACATCCTTCCACTAAGTTTTGAGGTCATCCATCCGGTTGGTTTGTTTGTAATCTAGATTACAAACAAACCAACCGACATATAAAGATACATAATGAGTCATATTCCACTCTGTGAACAGACACAACCTTGCACGTGGACACAGTTGCAGTACAGTGATGATAAAAGACGATTGTAAAGGTGGAGCTATCACCGCTCTGTGTGACTGCTGATATAGGCCTCGGAGGAGAACTGCTGGTTATAACCCAAGAAGAAGAGAAAACTCCTCGTGTAATTAAAGCAGTTAGAGGTCAGTGGTGCTGAGTCCGCCATTCTCCTCTGGCTAATTTTACATTGGCTGCTCTGTTTAAATTCTCCCTCCATGTTTCTCTAAATTGCATCTCACCAGTGTTTGATTGCTGCAGGATTGTCTCCCTTTAAAAAGCACTGACCGTCGGAATACATGCTCTTGGAGCAGCGCTCCTGCACTGATGCCTGTACTGAACAGACCCCAGGCTATAATGTATGTAAATTGCATACTTAGTTTAGGGAGATGAAGCGGCTATAGGGATTATAGTTTAACAGAGAAAATGCTTTGCTGTGGTCAAAGATCAGTTAGATTGAATTAAGAGATTAGAATACATTTGCCTCGCAGTTATCTGGATTTGATGAGCGGCCTGTTGGTAAAGCTTTTCCATTTAAAATGGCAGGGAGAGGGTCTGATTCAGCCCAGCGGAGCCCTAATTATAAGGATAACAGAGGATAAGACTATGAATATGAAGGAAATTAGATCAGAATGTAAACTCCAATTCTGGAGCGATAAGTTGAAGGACAGAAGATTATTACACAGCTATTTTAATCATTGGTTTATCTTTCAAATTGTTATTTCTAAGAAAAAATAAACATTAACAGCTTCTCAGTTGTAATCATTCGCTGCTGTTGTCTGTTTAGTATCATTGTGAAGAATCCCTCGGTTCTGGATCACTGATTGGACCATTGAAAGACTTTAAATTGCTTCCTTAATTATTTGTAATATAAATAAATAATTTTTGGTTGCAGCTTTGCATGTTTGTCTCTATCTGAGAAGAATAACTGCTTCAAATTCAACATTTTCTTCAGCAGCAACCGAGGACAACAAAGTAGCTTTTACTTGTGTGGTCCAGATTGATGCAGGTGATGTTGTTGTCATCTTACCTGTTGTGTTTGTTTGCAGCGGTGTCACCATTGTGTTGTTTAAATGCTCGGTCTCTGTGCTGCGATGAGTGAACTCCAGTTACAGGATGGTCCCAGTGACCTTCATGCTCTCTGACGAGGCTCCAGGGTTTTTAAATCTAACTGATATGTGAAACTCCGCCAGATCCGACTGTAACTGTAACTTCACACACTCAGTCGCTCTTTGACGCAGGCGTCCCATGTGTGTGCCTGTTCCTTTTCCTTTTTCTCTCTCCTGTTTCTTGCAGCTTTAGTTTTTGTCTTCTTGACCCTTTCGATCTTCTCTACAGTGTCACTCCTAATAATCTCGCGGCTGCTGTGATGGTCCACTCACAGCGCTGAAATCTGGCCCACTGTCTGTTTGCTTGTTTCTTATCAGTAAAGCATACAAAGGGGAGAGTTCAGAAACAGATAAACAAGACACACTGTGAGGACCCAAAACAGATAAGACCTGTGAGAAACATGTGTGACTTACATGTCGACAAACGTTCATTACTAGTTCATTTTATTGGGAAAATAAATGTCATCAAAGAAAAGGTCAATAAAGTCAAAGTCACATCCAAAGGATGCATGCTGGGATGTATTTTATTGAACTTTAACAGAAGATCACGTATATATCTGTTACCGTGAATAATCAATTTGGTAAAGAAGAATAAATGTAGGACACACAAACATTAGGAGACTTTTGGAACAGTGCCTCTGATGAACCTTTGCTTTTAGTTTTAAGGTAAGTGATACTAATTCCTGTATAAAATGATTAAAGAAAATAAATCTAGCTTTATTAAAAAAACATACAAAGTAAAAAGTGCTGGCATCTGTACAATTGTACAATCAAATACTTGATTGATGATTTCATCCATCACTTCATTATCTTTTTTGAGCTGGAATGCAAATACAAGGCTCATAAGTCAGTGTGTGTTTTAGGACAGAGTTTTGAAAAAGTGAAAGACGAGGAAAAGGTGAACGTGGTCATACTTTTTTTTTTTTTTCGTGTGCAAATTATAACGAATTATATGTCAGACCACATATGAGCTTTGCCAGTCCTGATATCCATCATACTTTGGTGTAATGGGATTTCCTGGGTGAGCAGCACTCCTTCCTTGAATGTCACGCTAGGCCGCAGGTCAGACCTCCCCTGGCAGTGGCTCACACACTCAAGCTTTGTGCAGGTGATTGATAGATCATAAAAAAGCCCCATGTTGTAGGATGACTGCAGAATAAGCTTCTCTGGTCTGTGAGATTCTGTCAGCGAAGGGTAGTGACGGATGAATATTGGTGATAGTTTGTGAATTCAAAAACATAAATAAACAAAACAGATATACCGATTTCTGCGTTATATACTGTACTACACTGTAACTGCAAACTTATTTGTCCCATTAAACTCTGTATATTGTCTTTGGACTTAATATGACATGAATCAACTACAACATTAAATGTTTAATGTTTAATCTGGTCCAGCTTCATTAATTGGCAAAGAAGTCAATCGTATAGATGAGCATCATTCAGGACAATGTAGAAAGGCAGGTTAATCTGTCCACTGGGGGGAGACACAGTACATCATATCCGGCCCAACTTTAATCTGCTGTAGCAAAAGCTCCCTAGCGGCTTTATCAGTTATAAAACACTTTTATAGGTTTTATCTGCCTGATATTTATTTGTGTGTTGATGACCAGTGTTGTGTCTGTTTTGCTGTAGTATATTATACCATCAGGAAGTGTCAACATCCACATGCATTTAGGCAAATGTGAGGAATGTATTGATAATATCATGACTCTTTGTCCTCAGTCAGCCATTGTTAGATTTGATGCACTCCCAGCATGCAATACATTTAGGTACAGACTCTTGGAAAATTCAGTTTTCATTAAATTGTCTTTTGGTGCTACATGTATTCATACATTATACAAGCATTTCAATCTCAATTACTTTGATACATTTGGTATAAATGACCTTTTATTTGATCATTTCTGTAAAAGCCCATGCAGATGTTAGATGGTGACCAGGGGATCCAGGACAGTGACCTGGCCAGTGAGCTTTGTCACGTGTCAATCCTCCTGTAGCAGTTAATAATATAATAAAGGTATCTATCACCTTTCAAGAACAAAAGTCACAAAGTGCTTCACACACAAAAACAAAGAGCGAGGAGAGACTACGCACAAGCAGACAAGTTGCATTAAAAGCAAATGAAGATCAAACAGAGGAGTCTTGAGCTGCTTTTTCAAAATGTCTGCAGAACGTGGGTTGAATGGAACAGAAAGAGTGTTGAAAGAAATGTAGCACCGATCTCCTTTGGTCTAAGTTATGATGTTAATTATCTTGGAAAAAGACAGAAATCGGTTTTGGTTAAAACTCACTATCTCACAGAACTGATGTCAGACTCTTCACTAACTCATACACATGCTTACTACCTGTGGTGAATTACAAACCATCAAAACATGAAGAATGATCATCAACAGAAAAAGATAGGCACCTTCACAAACACTGGATGAACTCCATTATGTAGCATTTTATTATAGTTTAAGATTAAAAAGGTCTCCTATCTGGCCCTCTGCTCTGTCTGCCTGTCAGTCTCTTTATTCTGACCAACTCTGTGTGTGTGACGCTCAGACTCATACATTATTTATGCATTTCCAGCAGCACAATAGACACATTCCTGCCTATTTGTCAAGTTACTTGTTGGTTAGAAAAGCCGAGAGTGCTGCATAAAAGATGGAGGTTAGGAAACAGTAAATGAATGAAATAAAATATTCTGGAAGTTTTTTTTCATTATAGACAAGAGCCTCTCTCCTGTCCAAACAATGTCTGACACATTTGTTTCAGTGAAGTCGACTAATATGGCCGGATCTCAGATCGGCACCTGAATACCAATGCGGTGATAAAACCTAAAAGATTGATACGATGTACGCTGCAAAAAGAAAAAAAAGAAAAGAAACCGGCCTTTGGAGTTTCATTCAACAAAAAAATTGAAGAAGGTAAAACAAAGCAGCAAAAATTGGTCATAAAAGCATGGTAAGCACATGATTTAGTGGGGCGATAAAGAGTGGAAAGGTGGCCATTCATCATGGAGGCTAGCTCACCAGGAGAGGGCCTGTCACAGACACCAGCAGGTCTGGGAGGCATTTTGAAAAAGAGGGACAGAGAGAGGGAGAGAGAGGGAGAGAGAGACTCCAGTTGCCCTTACAACCTGTTTGTTTCGATGTCTTTTCCAGATGGACACATGCAGCTCTCAGATGGGTGAGGAGTGCTTCGTCTTTGCCGCTCTGCAGCTTCATTGTCACAGCAGCGTTGAGGGATGGATGTTGTTAACTACAAAGTGGAGCAGCAGACTGTGGAAGGCTTTGAGCCGAAGAAACACTGATGGGAACAGAAAAGAAAAAAAAAGTAGTAGTTTATTGTGGTACCACCAGATTTCACTGTAACAGTACAGGGTAATGTAATGCAGCCAGTCTGACCCTCATGTTTGAATTGCAAATTAAGCTGAGAGAGGATATACATTTGGTTTGTATCAAATAAAACAAATATGAAACAACAAAGTATACAATTTCAGAAACAAGGTTGTTTTGGGAGCATTATATTTTCATTAATGAAACAGACACCTCTTGTTTTCCAGAACTCCAGTTAACAGCTTGACGTCTACATGTCAAACTGAACTTTGCTGGTCCCTTTGTCAATGTGTTATCAGGTAAACTATTAATTACAACCACAAAAAAGCAAAACTGTCACAATACATCAGAAATAGTTTATCTTTTATATATTTAATCCCTCAGGCACACACCAGGCCTGGTGACAGGCTCCACAGGGTGACATCCTGGACGGAGGAGACTTTGTCCCCACACGCTGAACCACTGGAGCCTGGTGTCCAGTGAGCACACAGGAGACTTGGAGCCGAATATTATACGTCTTGAAGAGAGAGAGAAGAAGAGATTTCAGTGCAGCGTAATGATTAATGATGATAATTAGTTTTACATTTTATAACTATTCAAGGTCACAGACAGGAGCTGTTCAAGGGTGCAGAAAGTACAAGGCAAACTATTTTATGCATGTGGAACAGAAAAGTTCAGAGG